GCTATAAATAATCTTGTAGGCCTAATTATTAGATAGGGCCTATATTTGTTTAGGTAAAGAGCCCGAAAATTAGAAAAAGAAAATTATTGGATTTAATCTGAATTTAATTATTTTGAATGAGCTATTTTATGTTTTTATTTTTTATGGAGTATTTATATATATTTTGACTGACATACCATTAATGAGAAAAAAATGACAAAACATTATTGATTATTAATTATTAACTTAAAAATGAAAGATTAAAACTTACTAAGACCCAGTTCAACATCCGGTCTGAAAAAGAAAGGTATAAATGCATTGCTCTTGTCAAAATACTAGAATTAAATTAATCTTGGTACTCGATATGTTTGCTCATTCTTTGGACCCGCAATGGTAATAAGTCTTTTTGTGCTGGGCCTATTGGAGGCTATTCAGGCAAGACCTTTTAAAAAGTCATTAAGCAACGAAGATCATTTACAGTAGGCCTACATACAGCTTCGCAATTCACCTGATTAAAAAACCTGAATATAAATGGAGGAATATAGACAAACATTGGACAGTTTGATGGAAAAAGTAATGGAAATGAACAAGTCCACAGTTTGGAAAGTCATAAAAACAACGGCAAGTTAGTTTTGAAAGTTTTTTTTCTAAATGAACAGGAGCGTGGTAGACAAATTTTCAAGAAGAAGACAGAAAAAAAAGTGTCAGTGCCTGGGAATTTTTAATCACGTCTTTGTAACACAGCCTATACCAAGACGAGAATAAAACTTCCTAGTAGTCTATTGTTTTTATTGTTTTGATGTTGTCACTTAAAAAAAGAGTGTGTGCCAGTGTTCATACGGTTTGTACTGAAGCGATACCTAGTAATAGTATGGTTTTATTAATTTTAGTTAGTGTGTGATGGCCTCAAGCCAGCCTTGGCCTACATTTCATGGTATAGGATAAATGCATTTTTTGTTCTTAACTATGATTCCTACGGCACGATGCACTAGAACTAGACAACATAGGCCTTTGAGGATACTGATTTTTTTCATTTATTGCTTCAGGAAGACGAAACAATTTCGCAGATGAAGTCTTCTTCAAATCCAGCAGCAAATGCGTACGTTTGTCTTTATACAACTTGCTTTTAAAACTATTATATTTTTGTATTCACTTTCTATGTTCTAACGGAAGAAACTATGATAATGACAATTAATGATATTAATAATACGAAACTGGATATCACTTGATATTGTAGGTGTCATTATAAGATCAAGTAAAATGTAAGAAAAATAGGTGGCGTTTTTGGTTGTGCACACTATTCTTATGTTAGGATGGCTGTCTTCTATTAAAAGGCAGAACAATTCTCATTACCAATAACGACGGGACGATGATAACGATAATGTAAATGGTAATGATGTGATGATGAATGATGATGATGCTGATAATGAAGACAGCAACGTTGATGATAGCGATCTAAGTTGAGGATATGATGACAAGAAAGAAGCGGACAAAAAGAAAAAAAAAACAAAAAACAAAACAAAACAAAAAAAACTGTGGTTGATTATGATACTATCATGATGACAACAAAAACAACAAATAAGAGACGCCGGCGAAGAAGATATGATCATGATAAGGAAGATGGGCGAGGATTTCGATAATCATGATGGTGAGGATAAGGAGGAGGATGACGACGACACGTGGATAGCGGAGATGAAGACATTAAAATAATGACAATGATAATGATTGACGTAATGACGATTAAAATAGTGATGATGATGATTATGATAATGATAACGATGATGGTGACAGTGATGAAATAATAATGATACCATTATTTCTTTTCATTTTTAGTGAGGGCATCCTAGACTATACTGGTATAGCGGACAACGAATTTGCTGGTAGCGTTCCCCGTTTTTTAGTGGAAAGGCAGATGCCAATTATTCTGTCCAAAAATAAGACCGGTGTAAAAAAAGGTTTAATAATTATAAGAGGCCAAAACGACGTCCAATAATTATTTAAAAAATAAATAAATAAATAAAAAAAAAATAAAAAATAAATTAAAAAAAAAAAGAAAAATAAATAAATAAAAATAAAAAACAAAAAAAAAATGAAAAAAATAAAAATAAAAGAACCACAACTATTTGAAAACTTACCTTTTAAGTTATAAATACTGTAGATTTAAAATAAATTAATTACGGCATCGACAATAAAAATGATCTAGCTGTGTGAACCATCAACCACCATAATAAATAACTACACGTTTTGTAGAGAGAGAAATCTTTGAGTACTCGGAGCTGTTAGAATTGAGAGTTTTGACTGACGGTGTCATTGGTAAATTCGAAATTTCATCTAGGTGGTAGGCCTAATTATAAAAAACCTTACGATAACGATAATGTCTGCGTGTCGCAATCTCTACGAACAGTCGCGTACCCACTCCCAAAAAGCTTGCGCCTCACGTGCGCTCACCCCCCTCCCCACCAGGGGCGGCGCCAGGAACTTCCCCGACGAGGGATGCAAGCTACCTCCTAGACAAGGGGGTCCACGCTCCCCCACCCTGCCCCTGTCTCTTATACACATCTAGATGGGAGAAGCCTAGTTATCCTCCCCCAGGTCGGGTAAAACATAAATTTGTCGGGGAAAGGGCATCGACAATAGTCGAAGTGGGGTCCTTTTCCCCCTGGACCCACGATACCACCGCCTCTGCCCTCACTGGAAATTTGCTGCACAAAATTACGCACAAGTAGATACAAATCACTTCATATCAACTTATATTGCCAGCTAATACCTTAACTTAACCACCGACTATCCGCCTGGCCATTTGCGTTCCACTCCACCACCATCTCCCCCATATCAGTAGTCCTAGGTTGGCCTAAGCGTGCATCCGGTGGTCCTACTATGACGTGATTATCAACAAGCACACATTTATTCCACGATATATGTACGATTTTTTTTTTCTATCTTATTCCAATTGTTTAAAACCAGTTGGCTTGATCAATCAGTTCAGGGTATGGCGTATCAATCAATAGGAGTAATAGGTCTTACACCTGCGAAACACTATATTTTTCCACGGTCTAAATTGTTTAATCTGTTGATTGTGAAACTTATGAAAAGCGACAAAATGAACTACATGATCAATACATTTTTACGTGTTGAAATGTACTGTAGAATTGTTGTTTAATGTGTACTGCACATACTACACAATAACTCAAATGTATAGAAATTTATAGCACCCTCTTAATGAATAAAGGCCTAAAATACCTGAAACTGTACATATTTTCAATCATACGATATGAAACCGATGTTTACTTTTGCTATGACTTTGACTCGCCAGCTACATGGTTAAATATGCTTTCAAAAATTGTTTCATGAATAGATTAACAAGCCATATAATATATAAAAGACGGATTAGTAAATTCATTATCATAATACTGTAATCTATTCGACCACGATCAATAACACAGAGCGATATATTCTTTTTCTATTTCATTTCGTATAGCCTGGGCCTATACTTATGCTACTAATCATGTGTTAATGTACGTGTGTACACAGATATAACAGAGACATAGTGGTCGACAGTTAATTACGAGACTGTTCAATAACTGTATATATTATTGTAAGCATACGCAAGAGAACGAAGTGGGCGTGGCTCCACTGATTTAATATGCTAGACAAATGTATCGGTAAAACGCCCTGTGAACCAAGCATCTGAATGAAATACAGAAAAGAAAACAGGACAGACGTTAGCGCTTTTTCAGAATAAAATCTACTAATTGAATCTTAGAATTTCATCAGGTCTCCAATTTCGACGCTTCCTTGGTTGTTTGAAAGCTAGGCCTGAGATCGTTCTCTGAGCATCCGGCGTCAAGGAAACACTGGGTGTGTGAGTACGTGTGTGAAAATGACAACCTTTGCTGCCGATTACCAGGCTAAAGCCGATAAACTGTGTGAAACCGTCGATGAATTGATGTCGAGGGAGAACTGGGAGGCTGTGGAGGATAAGGTACGTAGATAAACAATTACTTTCATTCGTTTTTGTTTTAATGTTATGGTATATTGTTATGCTAAAAAACGAATGATGATGATGATGATGATGATGATGATGATGATGATGATGATGATGATGATGATGATGATGATGATGATGATGGTGATGATGATGGATAATTATGATGATGAATGAATGATGATAATGATGAAGATGATGATAATAATAATGATGAATGAATGACGATAAAATGATTATGATGATGAGGATAATATTGATTATTGTGATGATGATGATGTTGGTGGTGATGATAATAATGATATTGATGATGATGATAATAGTGAATTAATGACGATAATGATAATGATGATGAATGATTGTGATGATAAGGATAATAATGATTTTGATGATGATGCTGGTGGTAATGATATTTTGATATTGATGATGATGATGATGAACAATGAATGTGATATTTTGATATGATGACAAAGGTGACGATGCTGGTGGTGGTGGTAGTGATGATGATGAAGATGATGATGATGATGACGATGACGATAATGTTCAGGATAAATAATGATGTTGATATCGATAAAAATAATGAATGATGATGTTGATAATGTAGCTGTTGATGATCATGATGATAATGATGTTTACGACAATCAATGATGGTGATGAAATATTACATAATTAGTTTATCTCAAACGACATATGGTGATGATAATGATGAATTGTGTGTTTGTTTATTAGTTTCTTATAATAATAATTATATTGGTTTCTTATATGGTTTCCTATAATAGGCCTATTAATTATATTGGTTTCTTATAATAATAATTGCTATTATTGTAGTTATTGTTAATTATTATGTTACTAAACCTTAAGGGGAACTTAAACAATGGAGAAATTAGAGAACAATTAAAAAAACAGCGTTAAGGGAAAAATATCATGACGTGGAGAAAATAACACAAAAGATAATCCCCTTAAGTCCAACTTACTTATTATTATTATTATTATTATTATTATTATTATTATTATTATTATTATTATTATTATTATTATTATTATTATTATTATTATTATTATTATTATTATTATTATTATTATTATTATTATTATTATTATATGATATATTATCATTATATTCATAATAATAATAATAATTCTGCAATATTCTCTGCAGGATGGAGTTCTTGTTGAGCGGATGAACTCATCTAATTACGATGGTTACATGTAAGTATGGCCTATGCATGATATTCTGATTAATGTTGCCGTGATCTATTAGGCGGGGTGGCAAGCGATTTAATCCCAAGGTCAAACATCATAAAAATATATTATTTTTTTAGTTGAAAAAGTGTAAAAGAAAACAAATAAAATTCAAGTCAATATGCCAGGCGTCTAGGTCTCTATGATTTATAACAAATCACTCAGTGGGTATCATTGATTGGTTAAATTATTGCTTGGTTATTGATTGATCGTTTGAATTATTGATCGAATGATTGTTTGGTTGATTAATTGCATCATTGATAAATGTATCTGATATTTTACTAACATTTTTACAAAATTTACACACACAATAACATTTGCCAGTAAACACTGTGAGACAATTTGCCCTACATTTCTTGTTTTTACGAATAGTGGATTAAGTTATTTTTAGCGTGCAAAGCTATAATTATGTATGTGGCACCAACGGCTTAACATCCATTACTGAGGACAAATTGAGGGGTCAAAGCAGAAAACAAGCGTTTCAAAGCTTCATTCGCACTGATTCGGACTGTAACGCACGCAAGTACCAACATGGATAGCAGTATTGATATTGGTATCACTCTAAGTGTCAAATATTTTTTGGTTATAATTGTTATGAATAATATTATGTTCACCATTCAAACAGTTCTCAAATTAATAAATATATTTGTTTATTGTATTATATTAAATAGGTATAATGTTATACACAATAATGCATGGCCATTTATTCTGTAGGTTTAAGATGACGTTCGTTGCCAACATGTCCCTTAGTGATTTTATGTTGGTGACTCAGCCCAAGGTGCTAGGAGGAGAGAGGGAGAAATGGGACACTGAAATCAAGGGGATAACTATACTAGAGGAAGTGACGGAGGTCAGTGCGTTACTTAATTTTGACACAGATATATACAGTATGTGAACATTATTATGATAATGATGATGAATGATTGTGGTGATGGTAATGGTGGTGATGATGATGATAATGATGATGATGATGATGGTGAAGACGACAATGGTCATGATGATGGCTGTGGTGGAATGATGATGGTAAAGATAATGATGATGATGGTGATCATGAAGATGATAATGATGATAGTCATGATTATGACGACGACGATGATGATTATGATGATAATAATGATGAAAATGATGATGATGATGATGATGATGTTAATTTATTGGTGGTGATGAAGTTGATGATAACGTTTAATGATAATGGTAATAATGATGAAGAAGATGATTATAAGGGTGATGAGCAAGATGATGATGGGATAATTTGGACTTGGATGATGGTGGCGATGATGATGATAATGATTATCGATGACGAATATGATGATGTAACAATGAAATGTTGGTGGTGGTGAGGATTATGATGATAAACAGAAAACCATCATTTAAAATTACAAATAATGAGTTCAGTTAATTAGTTATACATTGATCATTATTCATTACCAGAATCTTAAAATCATTCGACATGAAACGACAAAATTTGGAGCAGGGATAGTTTCTCCCAGAGAGTTTGTCCTGATGGTATATCAGAAAACTATTCCAGAAACTAACACCACTGTACAGGTGATGGAATCAGTAGAGCACAGCGAATGTCGTGAGAAAGATGACATCATCAGAGCATCCAGATATCCAACTGGAATGTACGTCACAAATGATGGGTATGTGATCGAAATTCACCATCTTTTTTGCTAAATTTATATTTTATAATATATTCTATTTGTAAATGTACAATTTCGCTTTTATTAGTATAATAAATATAGGCCTAATAATGATATCCAGTTTATGATCAAGTAACAATAATAAAATGTTGTATTGCATGACTATGCATAATGATTGTACATTAATTTTGCGATAAATGAGGCTTTATCATCTTTATTGAAAATAGGCAAGGGGTGGCGCCTGGATTTTCTCGACGGGGGTAGGGGGTGGTGTTAGGTGGCATTGTCCCCGACAAGAAAGAAGTGGGCATGACCGGGCGTCGCTAAAAACCCTTTGCATTTGTTCTTGGGGAGAAGCTTATTTCAAATGCTTATTTACTAGATTTTAAAGTCAATTGATATGTAGAAAATACATATAACCTTTTTTCCCTCCCAGACGAAATGTGGTTTTTCTTTAAAGATATTTATTTATTTATTTATCTTTCAGTGAGTCATCATCATTGAAAGTGGTGGTGTTAAGCCAAGTTGACATGGGCGGACTCATCCCAATGTCTTTTTTCAAGAATCTTCTCCCATTCATGGTGGTTAGCTACCCAGAAGATCTTCCTAAATACTTGCAGATAATCAAGTCCTAGGTTGTACGATACTCTGGCATGCCTCGGCATTCATTAGGCCTATCATCCTGGTTTGTTAAATCTTGTTAGTGAGTGCACTTATTCATATATTCGCTTTTTATCACGTATGAGATATGGAAGCTGCTTTTAAGCGAGAATAAGTGTTTATCACATTGTACATGTTGTCTTAAATACAGTTAGTTCTCCCAAAATCTGAGTCATGTCCGCACAATCAGTATCGATGCCGGTCGGTCAGCCTGCGCGTTGACAAAACAGACATGGCTACGCGTAAATCATAGGGGGCTAAGGATGTTAAACTTTCCACAAGCATACATTGATAAATTTTGGCTCAAGAATAATTATATCGGCTCATGAGAAAGCCATTTTAAATTATATACGGTGCATCTAAAATATAGGCCTACATATGCACAGTGACGTAAAAAAATTGTTTCTTCATATCTATGCTAAAACCCGTAGTGGTATAATTAAGTTTACTATACTGTAGTATGCTAGCTATTATATTTGGAGGAAGCTCACTAGTTAAGTGAATATATAAACACAATTATACATATGGCAGAATTCCATTCTGGACTTTCTGAAATATTTCGGCCTAATGATGACACAAAACAAATTTTTCCTTTGAGCACCAAAGATAAGTTTAAATTCGTATATCGCTCTTTATGCAGCTATTGAGTTACTCCATCTTCATAGTTGAATAAAGCGCCCCCTTTTTTTTATTCTTCTTGTGTTTTATATATAAAAATGTAATATAAGATTTATTGATGACATGTAAACAGTGTTTTTATCAGTTAGTTCTAGCTTTTCGCAGTTGCTAAGTATGCTTCAAACATTCCAAAAGTATATGATCACCTTCAACGTAAATGTTACACCTCCCAATTAATGGACTTTACTTTGCCTACTCCGAAGTGCGCATTTTAATTATGCATTAATGGCCTACAATAATTATTAAATTATGGTATGGAGAAAAATATTTATATTTTATGAATTTTTGGCAGCTGATGGCTTTTTTGCCAATTCTATTGTCAGTCTTATTTCTTGTATAACTAGTGTACTTTGCTATGATTTTTGTAGCTAACCAGCCGAACCAAAATCCCTCAAAATATCTGATTCACACACAGTTCAATTGTCAGGCCCACAGGTCAAAATATTTACACCTTAGGGAATTTGGTTCGGGGGGGGGGGGGGGGGGCTTTAATGATATTATTAACTACTGTAATTATGGTATGGAGAAAAAAAATTATATAATTTTTGTTATCATATTGACAGTTGATGGTTTTGTGCTAAATTGTCAGCTTATTTTTAGTGTAAAACAAACGTGCAATTTGTTGCGATTATTTGTAGCAAACCAAGTTTCTCATCCTCCACACACAGTGCCTCAATCTCTCAGTCGCAGAAAGGAGGACAAAATAAAAATTTTCCAAGGGGGTCAAAAACATCAAGGACACTATAAGTTATGATTTAAAGAAAAAAAAAGAAAAAAAAGGATGAGTAAAACAATATCTGTCAATGTTTACAGGGGATAACATCATGAGGGGTCAAGATCCTTGACACCACCCCAACATTCTCCCAGCAGCTGGTTGCATGTACGTATCATCAGAAGATGTTTGCGTTAAATTACAGATGGCATGCACTTGAACGAGCGGCTTTGGTTACACACACATATTATAACATCCGTCAAGTACCGTGCCTAAGAATTACTTGTCATTAGTGAAATATATATATATTAATTTTGGGAGTTGCTTGAACACCAAACACCGTTTGTTGATAGCTTCAAAGTACTGCCCGCTCTGTATCTTATAATAGTACAGTCAAATTAAAATGTACATTGAAGAAATACAAAGATGTCTCCTATTGTCATTCTGTTGGAAGGGTCAATGATAGGTAAGATGATAGGAATGATGATGAGGGCAAAAATTATGATATGGAAACATAAGAATATTGGAAATAACAAAGATGATGGAGGGTAAATGATATTTCAATTATTTTTATAATTTTGAAAAATGTAGGGGTGGGGGGTGTCGGACCGGATGGTTCCCCACCTCCCTTGAATCCGCCACTGTGATGATAATATTATAACTATGATTATTAAGATCACAATAATGATGGGGATGAGTATATCTATGATTAAAGAGTTCTGGTGAAGGATATACTGTATTTAAATATATCTCTGAACAAGATCAATCACAAAATTTTCTCAATATTTACATCACTGAAACTTTATTCAGGTTTCAAAAACACAGTTTTTTTAATACAGTATCAGAAAAATCACACAACCATTGCTATATAAATTCTCAAATCAGGCCACAGATTCTAATAAACCTGTGTTACAATTAAATCCACACTTTCGCACTTTAGTTACTGTGTATTATTAGACAGACTTGTCTTGTAACAAACTGATTTGTCAATGCTTTAGTGAGAGTGACCCATCCAACATGAGCTGATCAAAAAACCCTGTGCTGCAGCTCAGACAGATGTGGTGGCATGTTGCAGGCATGGTTGCATGCTGCAGACATCAAGGCATGCTACAAGTATAGCTAGGTGCTACACCTGTTGGTGTACTGCAAGCTTGTTGGTTGGAACCTGCAGGTATGGTAACATGTTGCAGGCATGGTGGTGATCTACAGGCCTGGTGGTTCCCCCTAGGCGTGGTAACTATTAGAGTAGAGATCAGCGGTGGTAGCAAGCGGCAGGCATAATGGTGTGCCTCAAGTACTACATAACTATTAGGCAAATCAACTGATGCCCAGAAACTTGTTTTACTTATTATGTGTCTTCTTTTCACGTAGAGTGCAACCAAATGTAGTTATCTGGTATCTAAAGTTTATTTTATTTCTTTTCCTTTTCTTTCTCTTTTTTCTCAGCTTCTTTCTTTGCTTCATCTTCCTCAAATGACTTGATCAGTTCCTGTACCTTTTTTTCCGGCAGGATGGTGATCTTGGTTTTGCCATTTTGTCTTGTTAAGGTTGCCAGCTCAACTGAAATAAAGAAATAGTTTAAAATATAACACACTAAGCACCAACTGCAAACACTACTACTTGCCCTATACTGTAGTTCAGTTGGTAGAGCACCCAAATTTTAACAAAGAATTTTGAGTTCAAACCATTGTGAGGACAATCAGATTATGTATTAAAAAATACTTTAAATCAAAAGGTTTAAGAGTTACACCTGTCTCACAAACATAATTACCCAAATTTTAAAGATTATCATAATAAATATTACATATTATTATAATTTTTATTACTAAGTAAAATATTAAAATGTATGAAAATTATAACCATTTCAAAATTATATTAATTATGAGATTACATTTTTCTGGTGTCAGTTTTGTCATGTCCAATGTTTTGCTAAGAACTCTAACTGATAAGGCGAGGGCACTGTCTATTGAGGTCTCCTCTTCTTTGTATTCTTGCTTTAACATTGAAACAGCAGCCTAATAAAAGTGACAAAGAAAACATTTGGTTTGACATGAAATATTGCATGTAAATGTTTTACTGTTCAGTTTAGTTTACTGAAAGTTTAAAGGAAAATATTGTTGATTAGATTGAGTATTAAAGTACTAAAACGTACACAATTAAAATAGACAATATTTACATTAAAATATTGGTAACAAGAGTACAAACAGTAGAAATAATGATAAGATATGAGAAAATGCACCATATTTTTAAATGTTAGAAGATGTGTATCATTGGTCAATGTACATCAAAGCCCATGTGCATGTTAACGAACTCTGTACACTTATTGTAAAAAAAGTAGAGATTTACTATCAGCCTTAGGAAAAAAAAACATCTATAAGAGTATAATCACTGAAGATGTTTATGAATATATGAAGATAATGATAATGATGATGATGATGATGACGAACGCAGTGGTTATGATGAGGATTATGATGACGATGGTAGTGGTAATGATAATGATGATTTAAGATGATGATGACAAAGATATACATTAAAATATATAAAGACTACAACAATCTTACTGAGCTATTGTTGCCAATACATGTTGCTTTCCATCCACCATAGTTGCCAGATGGATCACTATGATACAACTGGAATCCATAATACTTATCCCAGCCCATGTAAAGGATAGACACACCAAATGGACGTAAACCTGCAATACATAACAGATAAGATCGTTAATAATTTATTGCAGCAAATACATGATAGTTAAATAACTTGTGTGTAAACTAATTATATATAAAGAAAATATATATATATGTAAAAAATTAATTCATGAACATCATTAAAAACATTTGATAATAATCTTAATTACCAATAATACATTGCTCACATCATGAACTAATACAATGTAGTTTGTGTTTGTGGAATTTATAAATTTACCACAACAAAAGTCTGTACAACAACAGCATACAATTTGGTAATGTTAGCTGTGGTAATTAGTAGTTTGAAGACCAAGACGATATAATATCATTATAATCACACAGTGTATGTTTATAAAATTGTTGAGATGAACTCTAGGGTATTGGCAATTAAATCAGGTAAGTCTTAGAGCATGATGGGAAGAAAATTTGACATACCTCCATTTTGTGTGTAGACTTGTTTGAGGTCACATAAAGAACTTACAAGTTGCTCACATGGTATTGGTTCTTGGTATTGTAGTAGATACCTAAAAAGGCAATTAATCAATCAATCAGTTAAGCAGTCAATCCTACCAATAAACAGTGAATTGTTCATTCAGTCTGTCAATGAATTAAACTAATCATTTATTTAATCTGAATCAATCAAAAAACAATCAATCAGTTTATAACTCAATCAAGATAATAAAATAACTTGTCATAAGCCCACTTCTCTATTATTGACACGATTTATTTTAAAAATTGCATAGAAACAAATTTTAATTCAATACGTCTTTTAATAAAAAGCAAGAATCTCTATTTTAAAGGCAAATATCTCTATCTTAAAGCAAAATAATAATAATATATCATACACATAATACGTCTTATATAAATACAAACTGACCTTTGAGCTGTTAGTCTTAATTCATTTGTAAGGATATTGGCATCTGAGGTAATTCCAGCAACACTACATGCAATATTACTGTGGGGAAATAAGGTTGACTAATAAAGCAAAACAATCATGATAATCATGAGGAAGATCAATGATGGCAACATTATAAATGAATAAAACTTAATTCAGCCATTAGATATTGTTCATAATATTCCTGAAAGTTTAAATGAACATATAATAAAAACAAAGTGGCAAATTTGTAATCTTTAATGAGCACTGCTTTCGAGTGAGACCCTCTCTCAAATAAGTGACACACCGTGATGTCCCTAATTTATAATCATAGTGGCCTGGTCGATCATTTATAGTTATAATATTTAAGTATAGTATATAGAGCAGAATAAAGGGAATGAATAAAGTCAAAATAACAACATTTTATATTTCATATACATGATCAGAGACTCAGCCACCATATACCACCCAAATAATCTAAATATCTCACTTGTCTAGTTTATAAATTTTCTCTGAGAATACAACTTCATCAAGCAGTTTGTGTGTGTTTCTCCTTTCGGCAGCAAGCACAACCCCATCGCTGGCTAAGATTCCTAAGCAGGTACCAGCATGACCAATGGCTTCCATAGCATACTCAACTTGATAAAGTCGACCTGTAATTAATTTAAAAAAAATAATACAATAAACAAGAAATGTTTTATTTTAAATTTTTTTTATAATTTATTTATTTACTTATATATAACATAGAAGCAAAATACAAATGAATAAATAAAATATGAAGAATAAGTAAATACTGTAATTATATTAATTATATCATGGAAGTAAAGACAAATGAATAAATAAAATATAATGAACATTTAATAATATATTCAATTTCTAGAGGCACTCGATGTTGAAAGCTTTGATTGTTGTGGGTTTTCTTTTCCACCAATTTGTAACTTGTGTGTTATTTATTATGAAACAAGATGTGGAATAAAGATTGATGGATTGATTACACACTGCTGAAAACTAACACACACAATATAGTGTTTATGTTTCTTGTGCTACAAAAATGAAAATGCATGTTAAAAATCTACTCATATTCATGAATATTGCCTCTATATACCAGCAATCGATTTTTTAATTGCTTACTGTATTCTTAGTTTTTTTTGTCCAATTTTTCTAATACAGTATGGATGAGGATTATAATTTAATTTTTCCTGCACAAAATCTTTTTTAAAATGTACTAAAGACATTAAGTGTTAAATACTTGCATCATAGATAGAATTGCAGTCAATTACTGTGATTAAGTGCAAGACTAGAAACTTATTTACCTTCTGGTGAGAAGATCGTTGTTCTTGAATCATAACGTCTAGACTGAAAATAAAAATTAATATTTCAAGTTCAAATATGTAAAAAATAAAATTATTTCACTGCCTTTTGCACAATTTGTAGTGAAAGCTATACGTGGCTGTAGGCATAAGTCATCCTATTGGATTTTAATGTTAATAATTTGCCTGAGCAACTATCAGTAGGGGCCAACTTTAAACCACTGTATTAAAAATCATTAAATGATTTTTAATACTGTATTTTAAATAGGCCTTGCCTACCAAGTACTTAATTCAGCAGTCCTTACATGCGCTTATAGTCGTGTTTAGTGGTAATAGGCTAATTTTCAAGAGGATCAGTCTGTTGAAAATGGGCACAATCAGCATTAATTAATACATTTGATATTCTGCCAAAAGTAGTGCTATAAGATAGAACGACTAAGTTTGAGGTTAGGGTCGAGCAAGCTCCACCAATCAACAAGTCAGATTAACGCAACTGTTGAAACAATATTCATGGTATAGCCCTAGTAGAGCTTTAATAACGCATTTTCTTCAGTTACTCTTCTTATTAATTTTAAAATGGTTTGTGGTGATTTAGATAAACAAAGCATCCCCCTAATAGACTGTATAGTAAGGCTACGTAGGGATTATATCCGTCATGCAAAACTTTGGCCTAGCCTAGGGCCTAAAAATCTGTCCTTACATTTTTTTAAATTAAGGTTGCTTTCCATGCAGATTTTGCTGAAAATTATGATTTGACCTATCTTTAATATAGGGGTTGGCATAAAAATCAGTGGAAGGGCCAAAGTGAATTTTTAAATTAACAGTGAGGCCAGCACCAAAACTTCCAGTGTGCTTTAAAAAAACCTTTATGCACTGTTTTTACACCACTTTATTCTCAGTTTATATACTAATTTTTAGAGACGATCGGTGTCGGGCCGTAAAAAACAAGGCGTTTTCTAGCCAATGTTTGGCAGACCACATCGTATAGGGTTTTAATTTATTTTCAAGGGCTGCAAAAAAATCGCTGTCGGGCCACATGCAGCCCACACTTTGCTAGCTAGTTACTAAACCTATAGGGGGCGCTGTTCATGGGCGATACAAACATTGTGATAGAAAATAGTGCCCCGACGGAGATAGGTTACCCTATGTATTAATTGAGTATTTCGCGGAAGAATATCACAATTCGGCCAAATTACTTCCAGACAATTCAGTAGAAGTTTTTTGTTTACAACAAATGTTTCGTCGTTTTTTAAGAATAAAAGGAAACCTTCACTAGTTTTTTTAGTTAACATGTTTGTTTTATTCAGGTTTTAATATACAAAGGTAGGAAAGTTAAAAATAATATATTTGTAGCACCTAATTAAAATATATTGTCCAAATTATGATGTATTCTATTGTACTGGAGCTAGGCTTTGCTCGTACGGGTTGAGGGCGCCCTCATGAATTTTACCGCGGTTACACGCGGGGTAAACAATGTTTTTCCCGCTGACTACAGTGGTGTCTGAGCCCTATAATTAGGCCTAGATTTAGGAGATTTCAATGCAATATATTTTACATAGAATCTACCAGTTGATAATAATTATGAAATCTAAAATAATTATATACCAAATTATAATCGTTAGTATTGTTTTAGATAAATAATCAAAGTTAAAAAGCCTCTTTTTAAACACATAATTATAATGTAAGGGACAAATTTCTAGTATAATAAAAATAAAAGGAATAAACTCCAGCAAAAAACATACTTAATATTGTAATATCTCCGCTAATACTGGTCCGATTTACATAATTTTTGTTTTAAAATGCTTCACTTAGTTATGTCTTTCTTTTAAAAATAATTTTAAAATAATGCGAGACATTTCTAATTTTTATGTTTCTAGCTAGCTAACTAAGCCAATACTTATGTAGGCCTACCCTAGTAAGCCATCGCACCCCACTCTGTTTATATCGGTCTCGTCACACGAGTATCCAGACCAGCCTAGGCCTGGCTATGCCCCACTGCCAGCAAGGAGGTATAAAATATTTTTATACCTCCTTGCTGCCAGCCAGGCCAGGGATTAGGCTGGCCGGGCCTAAATAAAGGTGGCCTACCTCAAGATAGAGGAGGCCTGCCTAGCGAGCGTTCAGTTACACCTCATAATTGTATGTACCTAAAACCTACCATTTCTGTTCTGTATAAAGTCGTTAACGATTAAACGGTCAAACTATTGGAAGTCCGCTAAATTATTATTTTTCGACGTTCAACCAGTTCCCCTTCTCACACCACCAACCAAAGCATAAAGTTGCTATTTCATCGACCGTTCGTTTGTTTGATTTTAATACTCGAGTAGTGCTATGAAAGCCTTATGAGGGCATTAGATATTAAACGCTGCTCGGTGACCCCTGCTATTGCCATGCTCGCCGCCCGGTGCGCTGAGAGGTGAACGTATGACTGGCTAAGCCTAGTGAATGGCCATGGGCGTTAAAAGAATCCCTGGTTCAGAGCAGACTGTATTCAACCGAGCCACTTTAAGAACAGATAAATTGCACCAAGCTCAAGAAAACGTTATGGATGCTGTTAGTAAAGCGACTCCGAAACACCATGAAATAGGTACATAAATCTCAAAAAGATGTTCACAAACCAAGCCTGATTGGTCCTTCGCTACAGATGGATAGGCCTAGCCTAACTAAGCCTAGC